GGGGGGGCGAAAGAGCTTTCGCAAAGTAGAGGAAAGAAAAAAAAGGAGGAAAGCAGCAACAATAGCAACAACAACAAGAATGAAGAACCAGAAAGCGAACAAGAGCAAGAAGAGCAAGAACAAGAATAGAAAACAGTTTGGAGGAGGGAAAAGAGGAATATAAAATTGAAACTTATGGGAGATGACAGGATTATCCTTCTGGGGGGGACAGCTGCAGCAGAGGGAAGGGAGGAGAGAAGAAGGATGGAAAAGAGAAAAAGAAGACTGCCAAGAAGAAAATGTGAAGAGTTGTCAAGAATAGCTCCCATATGAGAAAAACAGGGGTGGCGACGAGGCAAAAACGGATAAGAGGAGAATAGGGGCAAATGTGGGTGGATGGGGGTGGGGGTGGGGGTGGGGGGATAAGGGCGGAAATAAATTGAGAGAGTCCCCCAAAGGACACGGAAGGTTTAGGAGAAGATGCTAGCACTCTCTGAAATTAACGTCTGCATTCGATGGATTGCAAGAATGAAATCACGAGATTGTGTGTTTATGTGTCCGTCCGCATGTGAGTGCGCGCGTGCGCGCGCGCGCGCGCGCGCGTGTGTTTGTGTGTGTGTGTGTGTGTGTGTGTGTGTGTGTGTATGTGTGTTTGTGTGTGTGTGTTTGAGTGTGTGTATCGGTCGGAGAAAGACAGGCTGACATGGAGATAGAGAGCGAGAAGGAGAGAAAGAGAGGGGGTCAGGGGTGAGGGGTAATTGGGTATGCTGGTCTTATGTCACCGCCCTCCTATGTCTTCACCTTAGATCAAAACATTATTCATCCTTCCATTCTTTCAATGGTGTTACTCAAGTATCCATGAATCCTTTTATGCTGTCATTCTTTCATTCATTTATTCTTTCGTCCGTCTATCTATGTCTTCACATCAGTTCAAAACAGTATTCATCCTTTCATTCTTAAAATTCTGTTACTCAAGTTTCCATGCATCCTTTTATGCTGTCATTCATTCATTCTGTCATTCATTCATTCATTCTTTTGCCCATCTATGTCTGTCTTCACATTAGATCAAAACAGTATTCGTTCTTTCATCCTTTCAATTATGTTACTCACGTATCCTTTCATTCTCACATTCATTTATTCTTTTGCCCACCCAAGTCCTCAAAGGGCAGGGTAAAGGGCTCCACTGGTAGATTTTACTTCTTTTCTTTCCCTCGGTTGTTTCTCTCTGTCATTCTTGCTTCTTCCCTGCACTGTTCGATCGTCGTTATTTTCACTCAGACTCATACTTTTGTCCTATATAACATCTATCACATCGTCATCCCTCTTTCTTTATTGCGTTTGTTACTCACTTGTACCACCTCTATCCTTTGACATGTATGACCTTATCGTGTTCCAAGCGCCGTAAAGCTCGTACTAAAACTTAAACTGAGACCTCTAATCTTCGGCACTTATATGACCTTATCGTGTTGCAAGTGCCGGAAAATTCTCACCAACATTTTTTTCAAAACCTCTAACCCCAACTCTAACTATTTTTACAGGTTACAAAGGTGTCTGTTCAGACCTGTGGCGAAGCAGATACGTGCACGGGGTGTTTGGGCGATGGAGACCCCTATTGTGGATGGTGTTCATTGGAGAAAAAGTAAGTTTGTTTGTGTGTGTATGTGTGTGTGCGCGCGCGCGCGTGTGCGTGTTTGTGTGTGTGTGTGTGTGTGTGTGTGTGTGTGTGTGTGTGTGTGTGTGTGTGTGTGTGTGTGTTTGCATGAATAAAGTCTTCTTCTTTCTCCCATCCTGTTGCTTTTCCTAGTCTATCTATCTATCTTTCTATCTATCTACCTATATATCTATCTATCTATTCATCTATCTATCTATCGATCTATCTGTCTGTCTGTCTGTATGTCTGTCTGTCTGTCTGTCTGTCTGTCTGTCTGTCTGTCTGTCTGCCTGCCTGTCTGTCTGTCTGTCTGTCTCTTACGGCAACCTTCCTACATTTCCCTCACACTTTTACCACTCTTCCTTCTCTCAACCCACACCAACCTTTAACACCATCACACTTCTCCCCCTGTTCACCCACTCTGAAGCGACTCTCCATTCACACACAATGTCAAGAACCGTCTCTGCCCGAAAGGGTAACCAACAGTCCTTACATATGTCACCGTCCCAAACAGCCCTTTATCCACCCCGGGTATCTGACGGGAGGGAAGCGAGGAAACACCTCACTATTGGCGGTACCAGCCGTCTGGCTCATGCCAAGGAGTTTGTTCGTGGATTTATGGCTTATCACGGGACATTTATCCTTAAAGTAGCGGCGAGAGGGGAAAACAAAAAACAAAAATAGAAAAAAAGAAAAGAACGAAAGAACGAAGGAAAGAAAAGGGAAGAAACGAATGAAGTGGAAGAAAAAAAGTATTGGCGAGAGGGGAAAACAAAAGCAGAAAAAAGAAAAGAACAAAAGAACAAAGGAAAAAGGAAGAAGCGAATGAAGTGAAAGAAAAAAGGAAGACCGTATTAAAGGGACAAATTCAACACAGAAAAAAAAAGAAATAAAATAAAATGGAACGAGTGAAAGGAGGAGGGAAGAGATATACGATGGAAGAAAAAAAATCATGAAGGAGGAGGAATTAATGAAAAGAGAAATTGGGAAAAGTTGGGGGACAAAAACTATGCCACTGATACACTTGATGATAAAATTATGATTAGGAATGAAAAGCAGCGGCTAGACAGAGTTTTTTATATTATTATTATTGTCTTTTTGTTTTTGTGCTTTGAGTTCAAGTGGAAGAGAATAGCGCCCTCAATCAACTTCCTCCTTTCCCCAACACCTTTTATCGGGTCGTTTGGTTCTTTGAAAATGCAGGCTGACAGGCGCAGATGTAAACGTCGGATAATGTGGGTGGTCGGTGGGTGCTCTGGCGTGGTTTGCTACTTCTTTCCTGCCAACATCTATCGTCCCTATCTCTCCTCCTTTTTTTTCTTTGTGTTTATACCGTCTAGAAGCACCTCTAATCTTCGGCACCTATATGACCTTTTTGTTGCAAGTGCCGCAAAAATCTTACTAAAACTAAACGTCGGATAATGAAGAATGAAAGGACACCGATAAAAAAAAATATATAGTGTGAACCACCCGTAACATTAAGGTATAAATAGAAAGACTTTACTGCTGGGACCTGGCTGGGACTATCATTACTGTCGTTATTATCCCCGTCCGCTTCTGAAGGGTTATAAGGAGCCTGCAGATATGTAGGCATCATGCTGGGCTGGAGTGCTACTGACCTTGGTTCAAATCCTTAATACTCGTAATAAGATGTGCGGTGTAAAACGTGCTTAGTATAGGGCGATTTCAGGGCTATCTGCCTACCTGACGCGATCTCAGCATTTTACCCAAAAATAAAAAGCGTTCATTCTGTCGGAAGTTAACTCTTTGGAATCTTACCGGACACATAATTGTCAGGCATCGTGGTGAAATCAGGGGCTCGTCAAAATAATGATATTGGAGAAACCAGCATTTTTTTGGCTGTTGGCAAATTTTTTTTTCGAATTTTCTTGTCTTTTTTTTTTCGCCAATACCTTTTATGTCGATTTAAAAAGATATTTCCAAGTGGAATTTATTAAAAACCATTGATCAAAAGCGCAAAAGATGTAAATTTGCAGTTTCCTAAAACTCTCTAGCTTTGGATTTCAGAAAACTTTTGTGGATATTTTAGCACTATTTTTTGTCTGACACCAGGCACCCCAATCTCCTTCAATCGCAAATATCTCTACCTCTTTTCATAATAGATCGGTATTTTTTTCACCAAAAGCAAGGCAAATGAACAGGCTTTCAAATTATACCAATAACTCCATATGCCCCCCAAAAAAATTGACGAGCGCCTGATTTCATCGCATTGAAATTCATATTGTATCCGACAAGCAACAAACCAAAGACACATGTTGCAGTATATTTTGAACCGACAAATTCGTGTTTCTGACGTGTATAATATTATTATACACGTCAGAAACACGAATTTGCAATATTCCATAGTATCCATGCTGATGCGTGCCTTTTAAAGTTTCGAGTAAAACCAGGAGAATCGAAAGATCGAGAAGAGCGCCAAAACTGAAACAAGGTGGAGGGCTTTGCTTCGCGGTTTATACCCAATATCAGGGTGAAAGAGGTGTATGATGAATGAATAAAGCTATGACTCAAAACAGTACATCTCTTAGTCTTGTCGAATGACCAGAATGCTTGTCTTCAGTGAGTGATACTCTTATGTTACAGGCACCTTGCTGCGTACTAACAGTATGTGTGTTGTTACTTCATGCATGCACCTCTATTAAATTTGTGAAATTCATGTTTCGCATCTCTGTTTGTTGAACCCATGTTTCCTATATCCACGTTGAGGTGTGGTAAACGTCCTTGTCAGCATTGAGAAACTCTGAACAGATCTTTAAGATGTCATTTGTCCCAGATTTCATGTCCGTCTCGGATACAATCCAGCCTTGTCTTTCAAGTTCCTAACTAACCCAAGTGGTTGGGTGGCGGATGCTCTGATGTGGTTTACTCCTTCTTTCCTGTCAAACATCTATCGTCCTTATCTCCCCTTCTTCTTTTTATGTTTGTCACTCTCTTGTAACACCTCTTATCTTCTGGCGCTGATATGACCTTATTCAGTTGCGAGGGCCGTAAAACCTCTACTAAAACTAAACTGACTCAAGGACGTTCTGATGAAGATTCGGATCACAGTCCAAGATGATCCCGAGCTAACGGCGTGCTTTTATTTTACTGGGGTGTAGAAAAGAACCGTTTGTAGTGTGAGCGGAGAAACAGTTGTTACAATTCTCTCGCGACTGACGTCAGGGTTTGTGGGAGCTTCAGAAAATATTATTGGATGTGATAGCAGGTTAACTGGCCCTTGACGGCTCTCAGTAGTCTTGAACCTTGCGAGTTGTTCGAATTAGAGTTCTATGTACTTGTGGCTACGTGACAATGATGGATCGGTGGTTGTTGTTGGTTCTGGGTCAGATGGTTTCCTTGTGACGTCTCAGTCTCTGGGGATGCCACTTTCTGGAAACGTTACGTTCGAGGAAGGTTACGAGTGGTAGAGCTTGCTTCCTATAGATCGTTGGCAGCTGCGGACCGAGGGAAGAGTTGTTTATTAGTGTTCCTGGTACTAGGTGTTAGGGAGAAAGAGACAGGGTGTGCTTAAATATAAAAGAGAGGGAAAGCAACAGTGCTGGCACCGGAAAAGATGGAGTAGAGCAAAAATCAAGAAAAATGAGACGAAGAAGAAGAATGAGACGAAGAAGAAGAATGAGACGAAGAAGAAGAAGAAAAAGAAGAAGAAGAAGAAAAAGAAGAAGAAGAAGAAGAAGAAGAAGAAGAAGAAGAAGAAGAAGAAGAAGAATTAAGGTGAGATGAGGGGCAGCGGGGAGAAGCAACAGTAATTGTTCACATAATTTCATCGGAGTGTCATATATTTCATGTACAAATAATTATAATATATTATTATATATTTATCATTGGACCCCAGTATTAAGACATCGCTTGTCTCACAGACTACCGTCATGACATATCGACCCGGTCTGATTTAGAAAGATTTCCATGTCGATACTACAGATTAGTGAAATGACGTCATGTGTTAGCCCGCGCCAAGAGAGGGCTGAGGAGATGTAAAAATGGTGTGCTGTATTGAATTTGTTCTCTTTGGTAAATACCAGTGTGGCGAGATTCTCGATTTCTGAAACCAAAAATTTATACAGTAAGTCATACAGGCCAGGATGAAAGGGCACGGAGAAAGAAAATATTATGTCAATATATCGTGTGTGCGTGAAGTATTCGTGTCTCGGAATTGTTTGCTATTGGAATCAGGAGTCTTTGTTTATTTTAGGTTGCTTTTTTAGAAGAGTAGTGGAAGATTGAGTGGAGAGAGAAAGGATACGGGTTAGTGTGAACGTGCGAAGGGGGAGTGGTGGGGGGGGGGGGGGTATTGAAAAGACGGGATCTCAAAGTGTTGGTAGTATTGGTAGTTTGGTGTGCTGATTTAATGCATTTACCGAAGGAGATGGAATTGGGAGGGGTGGGGGGGAGTCTGGAGAAGCGCAACGTTATTATTCTGTAGTTCAAGAGGCTTATTCATAAGGCGACTAAAATATGAATGGTTGATTATAAAAGAAATAGGGATAAAAACGAGAGGCTATTTTTCAGAATGGAACTAAAATACGAATGGTGGGTTAAAGATAAAAAAAACGGAAATAGAAATATAACAAAAGAATGTACTGAAGTAACAGATAGGGAGGGAAATGGAACATAACAAGGAATAGCAAAATAAAATTTGGAAAGTGGAAATAGCAAATGAGCAAAGGTGGAATGATAACCCATTTTCAAATCACCCTCCGCCCAAGGGTCTTAAACATAGTCATCATCATCATCGACGTCATCATCATCATCATTATTATTATTAATTATTATTATTATTATTATTATTATTATTTTAATCGCAATAATAACTTCGATAATAAATTAAATAATAATAAAAGCAAAGACATGGTAACAAGAAAACTGAAACATGAATTGCTACATACAGAATAAAATTGCATTCTCTCGATGCCTCTCTCTCTACCTCTTTCTCTCTCCTTCTCTCTCTCTCTCTCTCTCTCTCTCTC